TAAATGTATTGTTTGGTTGGTTGCTGCCTTGGTTGGCTGTTGATGTTTACCCTAGAATGGTTATTTGAATATCTTAATAAAGAGTGATATTTACTTTTTTCTTGATATGTTCTGTGTGTACTGGCTTATGCATACGATTGATTGATTATGAGGTGCAATATTATCAGGGCATAATTTATAAATATAAGATTTTTTCTTTTTACTTTAGCTACGATATATTTTGTTTTGTTGAGTTTACATTTATGGTTATGTATGTCAAGAGAGTTATCAGTAAGACAGTTTTTCTAGATTTAGTTTTATATAATTTTATACCCTGCACCATAATATGGAGGGTATATTAAGTTTGTCATTCCGTTTGTAACACCTCGGAATATACATTTTAGACCCCAAAAAGTATATATATTTTTGATCGGCATAAAATTTTATGTCGATTTAGCGATGTCCGTCCCTCTGTCGAAATCACTCTAGCCTACGAACGAATTGAAGTAGATTGATAAAATTTTACGCAAATGTATATTATGTCTGCAGGACTTTTGGTATTGGGCCATGTAGGTCCACGTTTTGGTATAGCACCCATATAACGGAACTTCCCGATATTCGGTATTTTGATGATTTTTGTGACAATACTCATCGGAATTGTTTCAAATTTGGTATTTGAAGTTTGAAATGGATGCTACAGCCTAAGACAGAAAATTGTCTATGCAGGTCCATGTCTTCGTATAGCCCCCATATAACGGTACCTCCGGATATTCTGTTCTTTGTTGATTTTAGCGACAATATTCATCGGAATTGTTTCAAATTTGGTATTTGAAGTTCGAAATGGATGCTACAGCCTAAGACAGAAAATTGTCTGTGCAGGTCCACGTCTTCGTATAGCCCCCATATAACGGTACCTCCGGATATTCTGTTCTTTGTTGATTTTAGCTACATTATTCACCGATTTTTTTAAGTTTCGCATTTGAATATTGTAATGGCTTATGACAAAAGTCACCTATGCAGGTCCATGTCGTCGTATAGACCCTAATGTTACAGCTACAATCGTTATTTTTAAGATTTGAACAGAATTTTTAACGGATTTTATTGTTTTTGAGAAATGTCAAACTCGTTCCAAATGGTGAAGGAAGGGTATTCAAAGTTCGTCCCTGCCGAACTTACAGTTTTTTTACTTGTTTTTGTAAAGGAAAATGTATTGGGATAAACATAAAGCGTAGTAGTCAACAAAATGTACACTATGCTACATACTACGGCGATTGTAATTTATTGCGAGTCTTAAATGCCCAATTTTTCATAATTTCGTGGGTAAATATGACTAGGACCAATGTGGGTAATGTTTTGACGCCGGTTGTAGAATCCATTACGAAGTAAATATACCAAATTTCACACAAATCTGTTAGAAAAAGTGACCTAAATCGTCAAAAACGAATAACCGATGGAATCGTAGTTAGTGTGTACAAAGCTACTTCATCGGAGCTAGAGCCCATTACGAACTACATGTGCTAATTTTTATAAATAAATCGTAAATAAATTTTATAATAAATCGTAATCTTATTTCATATGGTCTCAAGATAAAGAACTGCTAGAATAAATAGTTTTTTGAAGTATCAGAAGGTTTTGCCGATCGATGTATACACTCAGCTAATATTCGAGTATGTAAATATTTTTTGTATACCCTACACCATTATTAACATGGAGCAGGAAGCGATAAAGACTCATAGTTACTTTTGAGGATCTTCATAGAATCACTTTTGTAGTCGATTCATGCATGTCAGTCCGTCCGTCCCTCCATGTATTCTTATGAACAAAATACAGGTCGCATTTGTTATCCGATCGAGATGAAATTTTCCAAACAATATTTGTCTGGACCAAGGACGAGCCCTTGGTGACAATCGGATCAGATTTAGATTTATCTTCAACCGATTTCGGATTAATTGTGCACCACATGGCTAATATAGGTCGAAATTACCTGTATTTTGGTACATCCCACCGAATTCAGTCTACTAGTAAGTACATTAAATTTGGTGAAAGTCGGTTCAGATATCGCTATAGCTCCCATACATATGTTTCATCCGATTTGGGATTTTAAGACCCTCACATGCGTAATATGCACTCCAGAAGAACGTTATTTGGTACCGGACATCAGACAATGCTCGAAAATACCCCTATCAAATTTTGTCAAGATCGGTTCAGATTTGGTGTAAATCTATTCAGGTATAGTTATAGCTCCCATATATATGTTTTATCCGATTTTGGGTTTAAATTCCCTAACAAGCGTGCATATGAATTCCACAACAATGATCTTTGGTACAAGATATCAGATACAGCTCTCAAATTAGTTTTTAAATTTTTGTCAAGATCGGTTCAGATTTGGATATAGCTCCCATACATATCCTCAACCGATTTCGGGTTAATTGTGCAATATCCAATATCAATCCAATGGCATGATTTTAGGCATATCCGACCGAATTCAGTCTAGAAATAAGTACATCAAATTTGGTGAAAATTGGTTCAGATATCGCTATAGCTCCCATATATATGTTTCATCTGATTTGGTGTTTAAGTCCCTCACATTCGTAATATGCATTCGCAAACAATAATATTTGGTACCAGATATCTTATAGAGCTCGGAAATACCTTTGCCAAATTTTATAGAGAACGGCTAAGATTTGGATATAGCTCCCATATATACATATGTGTGAAATTTGAAAAGAGAGTTGGATACTTGATTTGTTTTTCAAAATCTGGAACCCAATTTGCGGAAGGTACCAAAAGAAATGGTCCGATCGCCACCATCTTTATAACTGATCTTGTGTTGACGGAAATATTAAGGTGTACCAAGTCTGAATGGAATCGGATGTTAAGTTCGCGTTTTATGAGCTTAATGTATATTCAAATTTTTGACCCTTTGTGGATGAGGTACCAGAAGGAGTGGACCGATATATCCTATCTTTACAGCAGATCTTGTGCCAGTAGAAATAATGGGATGTGCGGAACATGAAGAGATCCGGATGCTTATTTCGGATTTTATAATCGTTATGGTTATTCAAAACTTTGGCCCTTTGTGGGGGAAGTACCAGAACTAATGGTCCGATCTCTACCATCTTTAAAACAGATCTTGTGTTGGTAGAAATACTAAGATGTGCTAGGTCTGGATGGAATCGGATGTTAATTTCGCGTTTTATGAGCTTCATGAATATTTAAATGTTGACCATTTGTGGATGAGGTACCAGAAGGAGTGGACCGATATATTCCATCTTCACATCAGACCTTGGGTTAATAAAAATATTGTGATGTGTGCAATGTGAAGACAATCGGACACTTACGTCTCATTTTATAAGAGTTATAATTATTCAAAATGTTGACCCTTTGTGGGGGAAGTACTGGATGGAGTGAACCGATATTGTCCATTTTCGCATCTGACCTAGCACTTATGGAAATATTAGGAATTATTTCTTCTCTTTCTGTGCAGCAAAATATTTTTTTGAAAATTGCTTCCTTTTCTGATGGAGGTACCAGAAGATGTGGACCCATATTGCCCATCTCAGAACTCGATCTAAGTTTTATAATTACTAATTCCATAATTACGATTTTACGATGTACCTAGTTTGAACAAAATCGGATACTTCCGATTTTATTATCGTTATCGTGCGCACCAGCCAGCCGAAAAGACAGACTCCCGATTGACTCCAAGTGTATTGAAACGAATTTGGTCCAAAGAGATATAGGGTCTAAAACCGTTATTTCTATGAGGCACGTTTTGGCCGTATCAACTGAACTTTGTAGCCATATGGCTGAGGGCATAAAAAACTAGCTTTGGTGCTTATTAAAGCTTCCCTAAAGAATTCCTGAAGAAACCTCATTTTGGGCCCTCATATTCATGACAGTCTTTAAGTATTTCAGAAAAATTCGTTAAAGTTTGGAGTTCTTATAAGAAAAAAAATCTTTTAAAATTCACGTTTTGTTCTTGATATGTTCTAAAAAATATTTCAAAGCTTCATGTGTCGGTCCTACTAAAATCCAAGATCACTGTTTTAAAAAATGCACTTTCAGTGTCTTTTAATTAGTCTAAAAATTAAATTTCAACACTAGTTTGCGAAACGTAAGTATTGCCAAATTAAATTGCTTTGGTAAATATAGTTTGAGCTTTTGCAGATTCTAGACAAATTTGTTGAAAATCCACATTTCGAATATTTGAAGAATTTAATTTTAGATTCGTTACAATGTCTTATCGTTAGATATCCATAAAAATGTTCGTTTTGCAAATTTAAAAAAAAAAAATGAGTTATTTTTTAAATTCCAGGACAGTGTTACTTTAAAATATTCCAAAAATCTATGAGAAATCGCGTTTTATAAAATGTTGTTATAAATATTATTATTATTATTATTATTATTATTATTATTATTATTATTATTATTATTATTATTATTATTATTATTATTATTATTATTATTATTATTATTATTATTATTATTATTATTATTATTATTATTATTATTATTATTATTATTATTATTATTATTATTATTATTATTATTATTATTATTATTATTATTATTATTATTATTATTATTATTATTATTATTATTATTATTATTATTATTATTATTATTATTATTATTATTATTATTATTATTATTATTATTATTATTATTATTATTATTATTATTATTATTATTATTATTATTATTATTATTATTATTATTATTATTATTATTATTATTTTATTATTATTATTATTATTATTATTATTATTATTATTATTATTATTATTATTATTATTATTTAAAATGTTATTATTGTTTGTTAGTGTTTGTAAAACAGCTGACTTCGGTTGCAAACTATTTGGCAGATTTTATTCATAGTTATGAAAAACCAACCTTCCATAACAAGCTATTATCAAAATGTTAAGGTTGAGGTTCCAAAACATCTCCCTCTTGTTACAAAACACTGGTATTTTTCCTTACTCGTTACATTTAAAGTAATTAAAAATAAATAAAATTACCTTCCTTTGTGCTATTCCAATAACGTATTTAAAACCATTTTAAGTTAAATCCATTGTTTTTTTTTTAAATAAACATTTCCATTTCTTTCACTTTCAGCAAACTCATAATCCAAACATCATCGTATTTGCAATGTAAGTATTTTCGTAATTTTTCATTTTATTCAAAAGTGAATACATTTGCATATTTAAAATCTCATTTTGAAATTTCATAAATTTAAATCAAACTTTAAAAATATTTCTCATTAAAACGCTTTGTGAATGAAATTCTTTCACAATTTGTTCGCACAATCACTTCAAAGTTTCCCCTATTTCATTTTTTTCGCAATTTGCAAAAACCTTAAGTAGAACTCGCGACGGCTTTTTGGGCTTTTGTGTGTTGCACAAAACCAGAAACGTTAAAAACGACGACGACGATGACAACGAGTTTTGTTTTTGCGCAAAACAAAAGAAACGCGAACATAAACATAAAAACGTCACGCACGCGCACTTGAGTTACAGCAACTACTGGTTGTGGCTCGTCGCTGGCTGTTGCATACACCGGGCACATCGAGCATTTTACAAAAAGATGAGCACTGGGGCACTCCACTCCACTCGACTCCAGCCAGCAGCACCAGCAATAGCACACACCAACCACCATTACCACCACCACGAATTGACAATGTGGCGCAACGAATGCGATTTAGCAAAAACAACAACAAAAGACAAAAACCAAAACAAAACAAAAAATCCCCCAACAAAACAAAAGCAACAACTAAAACGCAAATAATCATCGGATAGTTGTTCTTGTTATTGTTGTTGCTGCTGCTGCTTATTCCGTCTTTGGCAAATCCAATTCCACAAAAAAATGCATTTTAAATTGGCGCAGCAAAAAACCACAAATCTCTGCTGCTCTTTCAACAAGGAAAAGAGAGCTTCGTTGTTTTAATTTTCTTCGTGAAAAGAGCATCGAAGAGAATGCAGCAAAGTTGTGGGTTCTGTGATCTTGATTTTGCAAACAACAGTTGAGGGCTCCCCAATCATGGTTGCCACATTTAAACTTAATGTGCCGGATTTAGTAATATGTTCCCCGTATGATTGGGGATTTTTTGTACGATACGACCTAAAAGACATTGTTCGGATCTGTAAAGGATATTTTTATGCACCAAACTCTTTCTTGAGACATTTTATAAATTTAAGATTATTAAATGAGTTTCAATTCACTAAAAATATTGTAAGACTTGTTATACCCTCCACCTTGGAAAGGAGGGTATATTAACTTTGTCATTCCATTTGTAACATCCTTAAATATACGTCTTAGACCCCATAAAGTATATATATTTATAATCAGCATAAAATTCCCAGTCGATTTAACGATGTCCGTCTGTCTGTCTGTTGAAATCACGATACAGCCCACATTATCTGACGTAGAGCGCCAAAATTTAGCAGAGCTATTTGCATTATGTCTAGGATGGTTGGTATTGAAAATGAGATATATCGGTCCACGTTCTGGTATAGTCCCCATATAACAGTACCTCCCGATATTCGGTATTTTGATGATTTATGCCACATTTTTTCACGGATTTGTCTGAAAATTAGTATTTGTTGGTCATAATGGGTTCCAGCTCCGGTGGCGAAACATTGTATGAATAGGTTTACGTTTTGGTATAGTCCCGATATAACGGTACCTCCCGATATTAGGTATTTAGATGATTTTTGTCACCCTTTTTCACAGATTTGTCTAAAAATTGGTATTTGTAGGTCATAGCGGGTCCCTGAGCGTGTGGCAAAACATTGCATGTATAGGTCCACGTTGTGGTATAGCCCCCATATAAAGGTACCTCCCGATATTCGGTATTTTAGTTTTTTTTTGCCACATTTATTCACGGATTTGTCTAAAAATTGGTATTTGTGGGTCATAATGGTTTCCAGCTACGGTGGCGAAACATTGCATGTATGGGTCCATGATTTGTTATAGCCCTCATATAACGGTACCTCCCGATATTCGGTATTTTGATGGTTTTTGCCACATTTTTTCACTGATTTGTGTAAAATATGGTATTTGTGGGTCATAGTGGGTCCTAGTTCGTGTGGCGAAACATTGTAATTATAGGTCCACGTTTTGGTGTAGCCCCCATATAACGGTACCTCCCGATATTCGCAATTTTAATGGTTTTTGCCACATTTTTTCTAATGTTTCTTTTACCCTAAGGTGGAGGGTATTAAAAAACTTAATGTTTTTTTACTTGTTTTTTTTTCGAGATAAAAGGTTGTTAAGTCATTTTACATAGGGGACCGTAATATGTTATATTTACAAACCTTAATCAGTGTTTCCTTGACAAGCAATCGTCTAATAAATCCTTCAAAAATTATTAAATAACCAACGAGCATCTGCTAAAATCCACGTCTTCCAATATTCTAAAAAAATCTCTTTTTTAAATCCCTAATATATTAAAAAATGCATAAATTATTATTTAAAAATTCCTCAATATTAAACACCACCAACGTTCTAGAAAAATGTTGTAAAATAACCTACGTTTCGGCAATTTAATTATTCAAGGAAATACAAATTCTACAAAAAATCGCTTGGGTCCTTTAAACCTCTTTTTAGAAATTTTCAATGTTTTAATTCCTTAAAATATTCTTTATATGAAATAAAATCCTGTAAAATATTTACTACGAAACTTCACAAATTTCCTTAAAATATCAAATATATGAGGGTCCTTTACACATTTCAGAAAAGTCCTGCAATTGATTCAGGTCCTCCAAATTAAGTCTTCGAAAAATTCAAGAAAATTCCTACTTCCATCACCTACTTGTAAGCCTATAACACTAGGGCTAAGTCCACATCTATTCTCATCAGCCTTAGCCAACATAATTATACCCTCTGTCATATGGCCAGAGAAGGTATATATAATTTGATACGGCCCAAAAGTTCGGAGATGGGCAAAAGATCCACAAAAGATCGACAATTTTCAAAGAAAATAATTCAATGCACAAAAAAGGAAAAGGATAATCCGATTTTGCTCCAACTTTGCAAATCCTAATATTTTCATCAGTGCTTGGTCAGGTGCAAAAAATGGACAATATCGGTCCATTCCAGCAAGTACCTCGCCCCACAAAGAGTAAAAATTTGGAATAATCATAACTCTTATAAAATCTGATGTAAAACCCGATTGTCTTCAAATTACACACATCACAATATTTTTACCAAACCAAGATCTGGTGTAAAGTTGGAATTTATTGGCCGACTCCTTCTGGTACCTCCCCCGCAAAGGGTCAAAACTTTGAATATCCATGAAGCTCATTAAACACGAAATGAACATCCGATTCCATTCAAACTTGGTACACCTCAATACTTTTATCAACACAAGATCTGTTATAAAGATTGTAGAGATCAGACTATACCTTCTGGTTCCTTCCCCACAAAGGCTGAAAGTTTCGAATAACAAAAAAGCTTATTAAATCCGAAATAAGCATCCGGTTCTCTTTATATTTCACACATACCATTATTTATACTAATACAAGATCTACTTTGAAGATGGAATATATCGGTCCACTCCCTCTGATACCTCCCCACAAAGGGTCAAAATTTTGAATAACCAAAATGATAATAAAATGAGAATTAAGCACCCGGTTGTCTTCAAATTTTACACATCGCTAACGAAAAATCCTTTGTGAAGATGATAAATATCTGCTAACCCGTTCTGCTACCTCAATCACAAAAGGTCGCAATTTTCATACTTTCTTCACATAAAGTGAATGAAGTCCAAAACTGGCACGTCGCAATATTTATTTCATATTTAGGTCCGATATGAAATGGACAATATTGATCTATTCCTTCGGAACCTACTCCATAGAGGGTCAACAATTTGAATATTCCTAGCAAAAGTCAAAATATATTTATAGAATCGAACAATGGTCGAGGGTATACATCTGTCGGCGAAACCGACTGATATTTTTAGCTTGTTTTCAATGCCATCGAATAGGTTGCTTTTTTTATGGATCTAATAATTTCATCATTAGGTCTAATGTAGGTGAGAGTATTGCGTTGTGCGAAATTAGAAAAAATATATTAACGTTAGTCTTTTAAACGTGACTTCACTCAATTTTTATGGTGGTATTGGGTATCATAAAATCGGCTCGACTTCAGTTTTTCCTTACTTTTTGCTTGATTAAAACATAAAAAAATGGAGTATTTTTTTTTACCATTCCATTAGTCATAGAAAAATGGGCCCTATATAGATTGTGAATATATCAGTACACTTGTTTGGTAGCACAAAAAGTTAAACATTTCCCAAATAACAATTTCTCATATCTAATATAATGTGGAGGATGTAGCCCACATCAGGCACGAATTAAAATTTTTATCACACTTAGGTTATTTGTGAAAATTGATATTTGTCTAATACTTCGGTATCTTCAACATAAAAGGTCATAAATTTGATTAATCCTAACGTAAGTCCAAATATATTCAAATAGACGGACATATGCTGAGGTCGTTTAAGCTAGTTAATGCGTTCTAAGATCATTGACAGATCTGATATGGTGAGCCTTTACCAATATTCTGCTGATAAGAGACAGTTTTCCATGGCTAAAAGAAATTTACTGGTCTTCTATGGATAGAAAATCAATTTTTATACCCTACACCACGTAGTGGTAAGGGTATTGCGTCTTTGTTCATTTGTTTGTAACATGGAGAAGAAATCGAGATATACCCATATTTACTTTTGTGGATTTTCATAGAATCACATTCTGAGTCGATTTATGCATGTCAGTCCGTCCATGTATATTTGTGAACAAAATGCAAGTTGCATTTGTTATCAGTCCAAATGACCTGAATTTTGGAATTACATTAAGTCGGTTCAGATATAGCGATAACACCCCAAATATATTTGATGATTAAATCCTTCACTTTCGTAGTATGAACTTCACAACAATGATATTTGATACCGGACATCTAATACAGCTCGAAAATACCTCTGCCAAATTTTGTCGAGATCTGTTCAGATTTTTATATTGCTTCGATATACATCTTCATTCGATGTTACGGTTATTGTTCACCATATATGTAATATCAGCCCAAATTGAATACATTTTTTCATATTCTACCGAATTTTTCCATTTGGTGAAACTTATCGGAGTCATACCATGCACTATACAGCAAGGCTATTTGTTACTAGAGGTACAAAATTCTCCGTCAAATTTGTTGAAATCAATTCAGAGTTGAATATATTTTCGAAATGGTGACTTATCTTAAACCATGATACCCATTCAAATAAGATGGAAAAGGGTTTCATATTGTAGGTACCCCCGACTTTTGACCTTCCTTACTGGTCAGATTTACTTTAGAGAAAATACTATTAACATGTCTTCCATAGCAAAAATATTGGAAATCGTCAAAGGTTCTTTCATAGACTTCATAATCCCCAAACGAAGAAATATTGGCTATCAAAAGAGTAAACACAACTACAAACAGATATGCCATGCTCTTACCAATGATTAAGAATTGATACTCTTTGTTTCCCATTTGTACACATTTTTATGCTCCAATTACGATCCACATTCCTACTCGTATTGGCAATGCAATAGTGCTCCATTGTATTTTTGTATAATGCGAGACGATTTGAATTGTTTTCTCTTATGAGTTTTTATAACGGATATTTTTTGAAGAGAGAATAACGGACATTTAAAAATGCTTGAAACTTTTTTAATAAAAAGGGTCGTAAATTTTAAACTTATTTAAAACAACGTTTTTTATATATAAATACAATTTTTTTCCTATACATCATTCATTTTTGAAGATATTCATTTTTTTCGAGTTTTAATTTAACTTAATTTATTTCCATAAATTTTTATGTACTTGAATAAATAAAATTCTGCTTAATAAGCTTCTAACCTATAAGAAAAATTAGCATACATGCAACTCTTTTTAAAACACACGGATTTTGGATGTATTTATAGAAAGAGAAGATATGAACCTCAGCTAACTGATCTTGCTGAGTTTATTCTCTTAACACAATTAATTACATTTTGTGGAGCACATAGACTCCATATTGGCATAAATGTTCCCCCAAGCTCTTAAAATACTCCATCATACTCTTAGTATATGGTTACTTCTTTCTCTTTAATTCTCTGCCCCATCTCTCTCTTTAAACAGTATCCATTTATTTTTGAATCTCTCAACAACTAACTTTCAACGGCGAATTGGATACAGTTTAGCTTGCATTTGTGTTGTTTCTGTTGTTTTATTTTTTTGGGGAGCTCTCAAAGTTTTATTCAAATTCAATATTCGATCGCTCACATTTAACTGTGTGAGAGTATTTAAATTTCCATTTAACTACTGCCATCTTTTTCCCACCCACACCATTTTAATGGAGCCGCTGTATTATCTCTTTGTTAATTCTACCTCTAAATAGGGGGGATTCCGTTATTGTGTGCATTGTGGTCTTGTTATTGTTGTTTCTGTTGTTGCCGCTGCTGGTTTTGCTTAGCTAATACCACAGCTATTTTGAATTTTAAGTAGCATGCCAACCGCAGTGGCGCTGTTTCTCATTCTCGTTATCTCGTCTCGAATGGGTGGAGTCAATTGCCAGACTGATAGTTGGAGAAGCAGCCACTTAAAACAGCCGCTAGTGCATGGAGGAGCCTAAGCTAACCGCCCAATGGGATATCAGCCTAGAGTAATTTAGATATCTATTGGATTTTAAAGTGAATAGAATGACAGATGGAAAATCTTGTAAGGAGAAATACGATTTGCTGTTTTCTACCTGACTATAGAATTTTAAATTGAATATTCTTAAATGTTGTGTAAATACACAGAGTTGTTTGTAGTCATGCTAAGTTCTGGCTGAAATATTAAATGGAAAAGGATTTGTAAAGAAAATTCTAAAATAATTTTATAAAATTTGGCGATAAAAAATCCAATGACTATTAAAGGTGACGTAAATTAAGGGGAGATAACCCTAATACTTCTGAATATTTCTGTAGGAATTTTAAACCATTAAGGTCTCAAGAGGGGTTATTATACCCTACACCACACTGTCGTCAGGGTATTATGTCTTTGTGCATTTGTTTGCAGCATAGAGAAGAAAGCAAGATAGACCCATAGTTCCTTTTGACGATCTGATATGCATGTCCGTCCGTCCGTCTGTCCATGTATTAGCACAAAGCATTTTTTTGATCCAAGGACAAACCCTATTGACATTGGAGACAATCGGTCAAAATTTAGATATAGCTCCTATATATTCTTCGTCCGATTTGGCTAAATCTGTAATATTATTTGAAATAGGATGGAATTTAGCACACACAGAGCCGAAAATACAATGACTTTTTTAACCATGTGCATGGTTAATTTTTTCATGGTAAATGTTTGAGATTACAAACACAAAATAACGTTATATAAAGTCAAATGTAGATGAAAAATAGTTTAATTAACGTTGTATAAGGTTGTTGTTTTTTGAGAGAGACGGAAAAATGTGAGAGATACATAAAAATTTAAAGTGCCTTCGGCTCTGTTGTGGTCAACAATTTTGAACTGCTTTGTGTTTGACGAAGTTCAATATTACAATATACGAAGTTGCAACGAATGTGACTGTCATATTCCCCCTCCTCCTCTTTATCGAATCTCTTTCTGTGGTCTGAATATGTGTAAGAAAGATCAAATAGACAATCACTTCTTTAGTTGGTGTTGAATAGTGCAAGGGAGTAGTGCACGTGCTCGTGGGAATAGTGCTTGGTATAAAGGTAAGTAAAAGCTGGTGAAATTAACAAATATATTTGATTGTAATTTGTATTTGTTTTAATAGAAAACCCTGATACTATTTCAACATAGTAATGTGTTATTGCTATATTCAAATTGTATCAGATTTGTCTATCAAATAAACTATAAATTACAATAAAGAAACAAAAATAACGGTAATACATGAAAAAACAAGCAACAACAACGTATATGCGCGACAAGCAAAAATGAGGAGAGAAATAATGTGTGAGTGTTTATTCATACATATGTGTTCTTTTTGTCTTTGCTTGTGGCTGCTACGACGTACATTAGCGTATGCATTTGTCACCAAATGTACGTTGTTGTTGTTGTTGAAGCGACAGTGTTCATATTTATGTATATCTTTTTGTTTTTTCTTCTCAGTTGTTTTTTTCTCTGGTGTCTTTTTTTGGGTGTTCGTGCGTACATTTTTGGTAAGTTGTGACAATACTATTTGCTTTTATTAACTACTAGTTTCTTCTTCTGTTTTTGCAGTCGGTGTTTGGCGTTTTGTAGTTTTTTTCACAATGGCTGAGGAATATAATTTAAAATCACTCGGTAAGGCGTTAAAAAATAAAATTTATATTAAACATATATCTTTCTTTACCAGCCCTCCCTTAAATATACATACAATTTGTAATGGAAATACATATTTTAGAAATATGCGGTATTAATAAATAAATAATAAATAAACTTGTAAAAATTACATTTTTCTTGTTTTATTCAAACAAAGGTTAATTTATTATTAAAAATTATCATATGAACTGTTTAGACAAACTGACTATGAAATGTTATTATTAACAATTATCATGGTTACAAAAATTTAACAGTGCATTGTTAAAACAACAATTTTTTTTCAATATCAACAATTTTCGTGGTTAAAAAAGTCAATCATGGAATAGCTAAATTAACGATGATTATTTTTAAATACCAGTCAACAAGAAAATGTTTAAATTAACCTTACATAACGTAGACTCCAAATCATGTTTATTTATGGTTAAGCTAACCTTGTATAAGGTTAATTTTTTTCTCTGTGCATTTGTCTAGAAATAAGTATGTTAAATTTTGTGGAAATGGGTTCAGATATAGCCATATCTCTCATATATATTCTTCATCCGATTTGTTAAATTCCTACTCCACAACAATAACAACGATGTTCGGAGAAATATATCAAATACAGCTCAGAAATACCTTTGCCAAATTTTATCGAGATCGGTTCGGATTTGAATATAGCTCCCATATATATCTTCATCCGATTTCACGTTTATTGTGCCTAAAAAGTGTAATATCAGCTGAAATTAGATGGATTTTGATGAATACCGGTTCAGACACAAATGACTTCGTCAAATTTAGTAGAAGCCCGCAAATTATTTGTTCCTTTTGGCTTTAAATTATAACTGATTTAACAGTTATAGTTGGTAGGTTTTAATTCTCAAAAGATCCCCATAAAAAGTTTATTTCTTATATGTGGCTCAACTATTTATGTAAAGTGGTGTAGGTTATTATTAAGTCGGCCCAGTTCGACTTTGGCCTTTCTTTAGTGGTTTTGAATATATTATATTTGGTAAAAATCTATTTCAAGACATTTTGTCATATGAAGCAGCCCCTTTTTACGGACCAGTGAGACAAATCATTTTCGAATTGATAAACTATTTACTTTAATTCCCCTTGTACGTTCTTGCCGTAGGGTGAACATTATTTTCTAATGTGCCTTAATCTGAGTCAATATTTATTTATGTTCTGCTTCTAATACCAAAAATTCTGATCTATTGAAAATTCTTGATCGTAATATCAGCCTTATGGCTACAGAAGGCATATATAATTTTATATTCGGACACTCTATTGAAGGGAGTATGGATTTGGTCCAAACCTTATTCGTTTCGGATTCGGTTTTGTCGACAGATATATATCCTCAGTTTATGTGTGATAATAATATATATTTTGTCTTCATTATACAAAATGTTTACCCTTTATTCGGATGGTGCCGAAGGGCTAGGTCTGATATATTTATTGCGAGCTGAAAAGTTTAGACTACATCAACTACTTCTAAGAGTGTAAGAATATATTAAAACTTATAATACTAATACCGATAAAAATATTGAGATTTGCAATAATTACTTATTCCCAGTTTTGTGGGATTAATTGGTAATCAACATTTTTTTATATTTTGTGAGGGAGGTGCCAGAAGGAGTGAACCGACATATTCCATATTAACATTACATCTATGGCTTAGATAAATATTATTTTTTACCCTTTGTGGGTGAGATACCTGAAATAATGGGCCGATGATTTCCATATTCACACTTGAACTAATGTCGATACATCAAATACTTATTTTTAATTTTATAACACTTGTCTCTTTTTAAAATGTTGATACATTGTGGGGGTAACAAACGGAGTGGGTCGACATTCATTTCAAATCTCGAGTGAATTGTTTCGGATATTATTGGGATTATAAGTAACCAAACTATGACCCTTTGTGATGGAGGTACCAGTAGGAGTGGTTCGATATATCGATGAGACACGTTTGGGTCGTATCAAATGATATGTATCCTTTGAGGGTATAATAGAAATCTCCTAAAAATAAACGGAATATGGAATTTTTGTTCAACTTCAAACATTGTAATATTATATTAGATCTTAGTTATGTTCAAAATATCGACAGTATCGGCCAACTTGCTCTGCTAACTCCTTCATAAAGGGTCAAAACACGACACGAAAAATGGGAAATTATTCGATAAATACTTTCCAACTTTGTACATTACAATATTTTCATCAGCACTAAACCTAGGGGAATGATGCAGTAGGAGCCTTCGGTATAGAAATAATTTTCAGAATGCCTTAAATATATGCAGTGGCTACATACTTTTCGGCAAAACCTGAGGTCCCATAAATAGTACATATATTTGTAATCAGCATAAAAAAACAGTTTAGTGTTTTGAAATCGAAACAGAGATCGAAGATTTGACAAACAACTTTTTATTCTATCTGAGAAGACTGATCGAAAATAAGCTATTTCGGTTGCAACTTGATATTTGGGGATCTTATCCTTATATCTCAATGTACAAAAAATATCAATAAATAGTGCATGGTGGTGAGGTTATTGTCAGAATAGAAGTATATTGCCTTTGGAGATGATCGCAAAATATTTAGGTGTTGAAATGGATCAAAAATAGACATTTTTCGTGATCTTGCTGTTGCTCTATATGACACAATTACAGACCACGCGGAAGCATGAAGTTAGAGTTTAGGGCTGGGCAGAAGCCTAACAATTTGCACGGTTATCGGACAATATTTAATACCAAGTAAATATTGTCCGATATAATAAGCCATAACTTTTATGTAAAAAAATTTGAATTTTTATTTTGACAATTCTCACCAATTTCGAATAGCCTTTTGCCAGAAAAGGATAAAATCTAAGAAAATCGAGTTAAATATTTCAACAAAAAAGTGAATATTTATATTCTCAGCAATACGGCTAGAGAGGGTATATAACATTTGATACGGTCAAAACGTGCCTAGTCGAAATAACGGTCCTAGGTCTCTTTGGACCAAATCCGTTTCAGGATATTTGGAGGCGATCTAGCGAAGTCTGTCTGTTCGCCCGTCTGTCTGGCTGGTGCGCAAGTTATATAGATTAAAACACATGTAATTTATTTGATTTATTTAAATATTTTTTATTACACATTACAAATGTAAGGCCGTTAAACTCTAAACTCCAACTGAACTTAAATTAATAGTGTTATGAATATTTAAACTAAATATAGATAAAGAGAAATAAAGAAAATAAAAAGAGATTGGAATATTCATTGAGAGAAAGAGATATTATAATAAAGAGAATGGTAGTGGTAAATGGGAGACAGTGATAATGACTTGGTGAAATGAATACAAATAATAAAACATAATGGGTAAAAACAGTAAATAAAATAGAGTGAAGGGCATAATTTAATTCATATATATTTTTAAATACGTAACTCGCACGATAACTCTCGAAGGGAGTATCTGATTTGGTCCAAACTTGGTACACTATAATATTTTTGTCAAAATTAGATCGAGTTCGGAGATGGGGATTTTCGGTCCATTCCCTCTGGTACCTCCCCACAAAATATCGAAATTTCCAAAAATATATATTTTCTGCACAGAAAGAGAAACGATAATCCGATTTTGCTCTTACTTACAAATCCTAATATTTGCATCAGTTCTAGGTCAGGTGTGAAAATGGACAATATCGGTCCACTCCACCGAGAACCTCCTCCCCCAAAGGTCGAATTTTTGTATATCCATTAACCTCATAATACGCAAATGGAACATCCAATTCCATTCAGACTGGATACATGTCAATATTTCAATCAACACAAAATCTGTTGTAAAGATGGTACAGATCGGACAAGATAACACAAAGGCTCATAATTTTCAATACTTTTATTTGTCATAACTTATATACAGGTCGCAACTATCGTAAGATCCTCTAAAATGTTGCATTGGATGGCTACTCGGCATTATTTCAAAAACGAACTCTTCCAAAATTGTACATAAGGGAAGTTTCAATATGTTGAAGTGCGGCAGGGTATCACATAATAGGTCCGCAGGCCTATAGCATTTGCTTGTTGTGGAGTTTTAATTTGGTATCAACGTGCTGAAAAATTCACAATTTCCACTATTTCATCACATGTGTATTTAATTGACTTATTCCCGTTTATTTTTATACCCTCCACCATAGGTATTTTAAGTTTGTCATTCCGTTTGTAACACCTCGAATTAGGTCCACGTTTTAGTATAGCCCCCATATAATGGTAACTCCATATTTTCGGTAGTTTGGTGATTTAAGCGACCTTATTCACCGGAATTGTTTCAAATTTGGTATTTGAAGGTCGTAATGCCTAAGACAGAAAATTGTCTGTGCAGGTTCACGTCTTCGTATAGCCCCCATATAACGGTACCTCCCGATATTCGGTATTTTGATGATTTTAGCGACATTATTCACCGGAATAGTTTCAAATTTGGTATTTGAAGAAAATTGTCTTTGCAGGTCCACATCTTCGTTTAGCCCTTATATAACGGTACCTCCCAATATTCGGTATTTTGATGTTTTTGGCGTCATTATTCACCGGAATTGTTTCAAATAACGTATTTGAAGTTCGTAATAGATACTACAACATAAAACAGAAAATGGGCCATGTAGGTCCACGTCTTCGTATAGCTCCCATAACAGGGTACCTCCCGATATTCTGTATTCTGATGATTTTAGAGACATTATTTACCGGAACTATTTCAAATTTAGTATTTAAAGTTCGTAATGGATGCTACAGCCTATGACAGACAATTGTCTGTGCAGGTCCACGTTTTATAACACCCATGGTACCATCCTATATTTCGCATTTTGATGATTTTAGCTACATTACAAACAGATTTTTTCAAGTTTCGCATTTGAATATTGCAATAGCTTGTGACAAAAGTTGCCTATGCAGGTAAACGTCGTCGTATAGACCCTAATATACGGCTACATTCGGTATTTTTAAGATTTTAATAGACTTTTTAACGGATTTAATTTTTTTTTTTGAAAATTGCCAAATTTGTACCAAATGGTGGAGGGTATTCAAAGTTCGGCCAAACTTACAGCATTTTTAGTTGTTTTTTTTTTTTTTTGTTTGATAAGCTCAATGAAAAGCAAAGCTAACTTTCTGTCTTTATTAAGAACATATCTGT